TCACAATGTACTGTATTAATATAAAAGAGTTTTCCGTATTGATTTTACCTTTATTTTATTAATTTTAATGTCTGTAAAATTAATGGACAATGTCCTGGCAGAAAATTACCAGTAGATTTTACCAGTATGTTTAAATGCAAAAACAAAATTATTTTAGGAATAGGTTTAAGATTTTAGTCAGTCTGTACGGACTTAAAAACAAAACAAAATTAGCTTTCTACAGAAAGAATGTAAGTATATAGTACAACTTCATGTTGAGAGCAATGCAAATGAGTGTATCTGGTGTTCAAATTTAATCAAGTGAATTCATCATTGAAACAGAAGCTCTTATTAAAGTATCCTGTTTGTTACTGCTGACCATTTCTTTACTGTAGCCTACAGCATCAATCATTCATACTGTATCCGTCAATGCACGGATGCACACACACACACACAGGTTTGTTTTTGTGAAAAGTGGGGACATCCCATAGGCGTAATGGTTTTTATACTGTACAGACCGTATATTCTATTGTCCTACACCAACCCTACCCCTAAACCTACCCCTCACAGGAAACTTTGTGCTATTTCAGATTTTCAATACACTCCATTCTGTGTTATTTACAAGCGTTTTGAAAAGTGGGGACATGGGCTAATGTCCTGAAAAGTCACCTTCTCCTTGTAATACCTATGTCATACCTTTGTCATTATACAAATTTATGTCCTCATTTGTCACAAAACCGCGCGCACACACACACACAAACACACACACACACACACACGTCTGCCACCAGTGAGCAGTTTCATGAATCCTGTGGTCCAACAGTCTGTCGCTGTCTGTCTGATTTCCCTGTATCGTTCATTCATCTGCAGTCACCCCCGGAGTGTGTCTCTCCATCTGTCTGTCTGTCTCCCATTTCTGCATTGCTTTGTCTAAATCACTGTACAAACACAACTTCTCTGCTATAAACAGGCCCATGAAACATTCATCAGTTCCAGTTATTACAGCCCGCATCCCCCCCATCATGAAAGAGAAAAATCACCCTCTCCTTCCCTCCCTCTGCTCCTGTAAATCCCTCCATAGCCCTCCGGCACAAACATCTGTCTGCACTGGACACCGAGGCATTAAACAGGCATCACCAGACCTGTGCATGCATGTAATGTCTAATGAAAGAGAATAATGTGTCCAGACAGGAACAAAATCTGAAATCTTAGACCAGACGGGTGAAATATGAACAGAAAAACAGCACACGTGGTTTTAGTGAAATGTTTCAGCATCCTCTCCATCCGTGAACTCACCTCTGTCCCTGCGGTCTCCTGCTGTTGCTCATGCCTTCATTATTTCATAGCATTTATCTGGAGTGCGAGCACACACACACACGTACACACACCACCACTGATGTCTGCGCCGCTCCGCCACCAGCTAAACCGTCCCTCTTTGTGTCACACACACTCGCGTGTGCATGCAGCTCCTCTCCTCACACACGCTCTCATTCTGACACAAACGCTGTTCTTCTTGTCGCTGTTCCTTGGTAACGGTGGAATCTGAGCCGCATCACGCCCCCCGCACTTCTGTCCTCCTTCCCCATCTATCCCACAATTCCCTCCCTCTCCGTCGCTCGCCTGGCCACAGAAATAAATATTTCAGCATGCAAATGTAGCGTGGTGCTGCTTCTCACTCCACCAACATTTGTGTGCATGTATGTGTGTAGCATCCGCCTACTGTTTGGCACACTGATATATTCTACATTTATTCATTTGGTAAATGTGTTTATGCATTTATGTTGCATTTAAGGTATAAAGAATTGAACTCACAGCCTTGGTGTTGCTAGTTTCAACACCAACTGATCTACAGGAATACATGCTTTTTTGTGATAAACTGGAAACACATTGGTTAGGGTGATTAATTTCTTTATTTCGGTCAAGATCAATCAAAACAAGAGATAAAGGAAACATCTTTAATCTATAATAAAAATATTTAAAAATTTTAAATTTTTTTTTTAGAAATTATTTATTAAATGTATTATTATTTCATAAATTTCATTTAGTTTTTGGGGAGTTGCACTACACAACATTGTAAAATCTGAACTAACCTTGCCTTACTAAAAATTCAAATGTAATATTTAAGTCAAAATGTAATAATTTCAGAGACGTATTTACCCTGACAAAAAATTATGATTGTCAGCATAGTGGTTCACACTATATGACAATTTCTATTTTATGTTTTCTGCACGTTGGTCTAACCACACAGCTTATGTTTTTTAAGAAATAGTGGAAAAAAAAAAGTCCAAACTATTTAAATTTTTCTTTTAATGACTATCATTTATAATGGGTCTTTTTTCTTCATTATGCTATCGGTTATCAGTACAAAGTGATTAGTATCACCCTGACATTTGAGGTTAAGCCCCACCCCACCCCCCAAAAAAAACAAAACACCAAAATGAATTTTAATTCAGAACTAAACAAAAAAATATATACTAATCATAGAAGTGGTGTATTCAAATTACTGACTGTACGAATGAAACTAAACAATGTAGCTGAATAAATAAAGACAAAAACAAAATCGGTTTATGAATTTTTTTGGTAAAATCTGAGGGCATTTCTCTGAAAAATCATGTTCTATTCATTGAATTCAACGCCAAAAAAAAAAAAAAGACAGACAGACATGGCTTTTTTTAAGCCAATCACAGCGGGTGAAATTGCTCACTCATTTGTGTGGTGCATTAATTGATGGGCTTCTCAGTAACTAAACTGACACCATTCTTCTGCTCCCATGAGAGCAAACTCTCTCAGGCACTGCTAGGTAACTGGGTTACAAACGCTAACATGAACTAGTACATAGAGAATGTGGCATGCTTTAGGAACATGAATAACTAGCTGATAAACACTATAGATTGAAAGCTGTTGCTCTTCAACGGAGTACAAATCATTTTAAGTTCAAGTCAGTATTACAAAACCATTCCCAATAGATTGTAAAACCTATCCATTTAAAGCATACTAAAACTGCTGTTAGCAGTCTGTAGGAAAATTATGTGCATTAAAAGATTACTAAGTAAGGTCCTAAAAGTTCAGTGCCAGCTTTGATAACAAATCTGTGTCAGCTCAGGATTTTTCCATGCATTGACACAACAAGCCTCTTAATGATAATCCAATACTGCCATTCGAGTAACCGCCCTGCAACTCACCGCAACAACCCAAAGCACTGACAGATACACACGGTTAAGCAACTAGAACACTCTTTTAACTTTTAATAACTACACTGCAAGCACAGTATACTTTAATAGTGGCCAGAAACATCGTAAAAAAGGAAAAATCGTTTTCAAAATGATTCGCGTTTACACATATCTACGATTTACAGTCTTTTACCGTTAAATTCACGGTCATTTTTTACAGTGTAGGCCCTATGCCAGGCCAGTAGTTGGCGCTGTCACCTGGTTAATAAACAGTACCTGTAGGGAAGTGATGATTATATGATGCGTCTCCGCTGTTGGTTGTAATATTGGTAAAGTAAATCCACACTTTGTTGATGAAGCGTTAGCAAACTCTTGAGCATCAACAACAGTACCATTTACTCTACCATTGTTGTGCATGTTTGTTCACGCTTGCCTTTAAAATCGACCCGTACTGCGCATGTCTACATACCTAACATGTACTACGCACGCACACGACGTCACCATTTTCAAAGATTCCTGTATTGGGTGTTTACACGGAAAAACGAAAAACTGTCGTGTAAACGAACTGTTAAAATGCATAAAAAGTTTCCCGTTTTTGGATGAAAACGTTGTCGTGTAAACGGCCCCTTAGTTTAGTCAAACCACTCGCTCGCACATATAGGCCCCCATGTTACAAATTAACAGCGAACATTCGTACATGCACTCTTAAAAATAAAGTTTCTTTATTGCCATATATGGTTCCATGAAGAACCTTTAACATCCATGGAACCTTTCCATTCCACAAAAGGTATTTTTTTTTTTTGGTAAAGGAAAAAGGTACTTTCGATTTTTAAAATGTTCCTCACACTAAGAAAAAAAAAATACTGAAAGGTTCTTTGGGAAACCCAAAATGGCTCTTCTATTGCACTGCAGTAAAACCCCCTCCTGGAACCTTTGTTTTTTTTTAAAGAGCGTGACATCAATAAAAAGAAAAACTAACAAAACCCAAAACAAAAACATTGCAACCAATGAAGAATTTTTCCAAGAATTGATGTTACAGTGGAATAAGCGCTCTGTCAAACCAATTCCAGCAAAGCAGAGATTTCTGCTGATCCAACAAGTGAAAGCAAACAAGATTAAGGAAAGCGAACAATGGTAGATTGAGGGAATTCCTTATGAATTAAATTACGATTAAAGAGGACAGGGAGCTCTATGATTAACCCACTGCTTATGTAACCACTCAGGATTTTATCCGCTAAAACAGTCCATCAGACAGCAGAAAACATTAGAAATGGGACAGCAGAGGGACAGGATGATAAACATCGTTCCAGGTACATGAAAATCCCCATGCACCGTAGACTCTGTAAAAAGAACATGCTGATATCTAAAAGCAGACGATTGCACAAAACAGTTAAGAACAATAGGATGAGGTACGGAGTGTCTTGAAACATATCCAATTGACTAAAATAGATCTACTAGACATTCAGCAGTGACAGAAATTCACACTCCAGTAGCCCACAGAACAGGAAACTGAGCCTAAACCTTGAACCAGCAAAGCGTCTGATGTTTCGTTAAATCAATAATACAACACTCATAAATAATGAGAAGACATCAATTATAATTTTAGATTAAATGGAGGTTTCCCAGCAGCAGACAGACAACTTTTACATCAACATAATGTGGTGAAACCTTTTCAGCTCCTGAATGGATCAATCAAAAACGACAATCTTAAATAAACTCCATTTGATGGTGATCAGCATGTATCAGCAAAGTAAAAAGAATTAAAGATCAACCTCAAACTGTGGTGATATTTCCAGCACCTAACAGCTACGTTCCTCCCCTCATTCCCTTCATCTCCATTTTCAATCTCACCTGTGCTCTCTTCTTCCTCTTGTGCACATTATCCAGGTGCACGGATCTTCTTTTACTTGCTCTACTGGGTCCATCCAGGCATCTTTCAAAGTCATGGACCCTTGAGGACTCTAGTGGTCCAGAACCTTCATGCAAGGTGTGCTTGTTCCTCTTCTTGCGTCCCAGTTTGGCGACATCTGGTCTGTGCTGCTCAGGACCCTCGATAGCCTTGGGTTCAGAGGGTTCCAAGACCCTGGGTCTCCTAAACAGGTTGTGGAGAGACAGCAACACCAGTGTGCACAGAACATACATGGTGGTGCTGACTAATAGAATCACAAATGGGTCCACCAACACGTTCAGTCAGAATCAGAGATGGAGTGATCCCGTTTCAGTATCAGTGCAAGCAGAGAACACTATCTTCTGGTTGAAGTTACAGTTGTGATATCAGCTCTACTGCGCTGCGCTTGCGTAGTGGTGAGATTCTGTCAAACTGAAGTCCAAAAAGAAGGGAATAACCAGTTTGGAATAAAGTCCACATCAATGGTTGCCTTCTTGCTTCTTTTCCCACCAGTTCTTCGCTGTATTCACACATGCTAAGACTGTTCAGAACATGCTATTCAGACACCTCAGAGCTCGACTTCTTCTAATGCTCATTTAGGCTGATAATCTGTCCGTGATCTGATCAGCAAATGAGATGGCTGCTCTCATCTCCCATTCTGAGGGAGGATGAGGGAGCGCCGACTAATGCACACCTGCTTTTAAACCCCACAAAGCCATTTTAACCTACCTGGACACATCTATAAAGACACACCCTGATAAACAAGCTCATGTAAGCCAGTGCAAACACACGTAAACTTGTGGAATAATAGATGACTAGTTTGCTAATCAGGAATAACCTCCACTGGCACAATCTGATATCCAACAAATCTTTGCCTCCTAATGGTTTTATTGTAATTTTTACAGTCGCTGGATTGCAGGGATAAACCTCTCCCAGGTCAGCCCACTCCTTCTGTCATAACACTTGGTTTTGATAGTCTTTATCCTAGTTTGTGGTCCATACGACTGGGCAAACTCCAAACGGTCGCAGTCCAGCCGATCCTGCACTGCGGGTGAACTCCCACACCTCTGCTGAAAGAGAAAATGCGTTTCACTCTTTCTCCCTCCCTTTTCTCATGGGGTCCATCTGTCACTGCAGTAGAGAGCGCTAAGCGTCTCTTAGCGATGATGTAACAACTTTTTGCATCTATGCAAAAAGAAGAAAATCAACTTCAAAATGTATGGATAAAGAAGCCTGTCCGTGATTGGTTGTTGCCATGGTGAGATGACCTTGTTAAACTGCGTTTTACAAACCCATCCATCATGCTTCTGCATGAAATGGGCGACTAAGGGAATGGCTCACAGTGAGAACTGACAGTGTCGATCTTGAAGGCTTGAATATGATTTGTGGTCATAACAGATCACTGAAGCCTTGTTCTGGAACTTCAGGATAAAAAAAAATTGTGTCATGTTCTCTGCATGTGTGTAGACAAGCAAAAGACCATCTTCTGGTTCATTAACCTTTTTAGCAGCCTGTCTGTCACATAATTCAGATTAAGAACAAACAACAATAGTGCCTTTTATAACCAATTTAACCAATAAAGCAGTTACTGCTCAACAGACTAAATGGCACATTACACATTTTATTCAGTATAATGTGGGGAAAAAACTTTAACACTGCAAATAATTTCCCTGCAGAGGAATGTATTTTTTATAGAGCAGGGGTGTCCGATCTTGTTCCTGAAGGGCCAAAATCCTGCAGAGTTTAGCTCTAACACACTTGCCTGGAAGTTTCTTGTGAGTTGCTACTTTGGTTCAGTTGTGTTTAAATTAGGGCTGGAGCTAGGGTTGGGCGATATAGCAAAAAATTTTATCAACGATATAATGTTTCATATCGTTCGGTATCGATAATTATTGACATTTTTTATAACCTTTATTAAAACAAAAAGCAATAGAAAAAAAATGTTTAAATTTAACCACTGTATTTATAATTAACACAATTTATTGAGACAAAACAAATATTTTTTGTTTTAACAATCAAACACAATAAAAATATGTTTTATATGCAGATTAAATGGGTCTTAATTGTATAGGTCTAATTGTCTCCCGAGGCCACAGGAGGGCGCAATGAGCAAAATAATGCAGCGCATTTAGCAAGTAACTCTACAAAAACGTGCATTACGTCTAAATTAACTCATAAAAATCTAATATAATTTCGTAAATTGCATAAACAATTATGAACAAAACAGCATCATGTATTTATGCATTGCTTAATCCAAAGAGCCGAAGCGCCATTCACACAAACCGCATTTAAAAACATATGAGAAGCAGTGAAAATGAATAAACCTCCACAAATTCGTGACATGTTTTCTAAAAGTTTAAACTGTTTTAACTTTGCATGGCTTTCTATACATCTCTTCTGTGAGACGTGAGTGCAGCAGTCATATTTGTCCGTCTAAAAAATGCGCTGAATATGCGTTCTGTGTGAATGGCTTGGTTTCCGTTTTAACCCATTCAAGATATTATCCGCATTGAGCTTCTATATTTCTCTAATATTTTGAATGAATAACGCAGCAGCGGCGCGTCTCGTGGGCTAGACTAACAAAACCTTCAAATGCAACAACGTCACTTTCACCGCATCTCACGTGCCACTGATGACGCTCCTTGACGCACACACCTAACATTCAAATGCAAATATTTATTTTAAATTCGACTAATATTCATTCTTTATTCACAATCTCCTCATCACAGGCAGGCACAGCACTCATTTCAGCATGTGTTCGTGTTTGTGTGCGCTGTCTGCGTCACTCATAGTACGTGCCTATAT